CTTTTCCGAAAGTGAACCATTTAATTTAAAAAAATAACTATGCAAGCAGACTTTTCAACAAAAATAAAATGCACCCCTTTCGTCAGGGGAGGTAATTTTTTTTTTAAAAGATCACAAGACATTCTCATTAATAACTCATTCATTAGATTCGCGCATTGGTACACAAATTTAGATTTAAGGTCACAATTAGAAAAGTATCAATGGATTATTATAAAATATACTTTACATTTGTTAAATAACTCATTGAACGAAACACCGATTTAAATGTTGTATATAAAAAAGAATTTTGATACGAAATTCGCTTTAGTTGTAAGTTATAAAAAAACAAAGAACAAAAAAAAAATGCTTTTATAGCGCGGACTATTAGCATATCTCTATTATATACTAACAATCAAAAATAGACTAAATAGAGGCCAGATCTAGATAACAAATGTATTTATAATTTGAAAAAAATGTACATCTATGAATCATTAAGGCAATAGCTATCCTCTGACAGCTTAGGAGTACAGATATATTTATAAAAAAAAATTAAGTATACGGTAGTATCACACATGGGCGTAGCCAGGGGAGGGGGTTGGGGGTCCAAACCCTCCCCCCCGAAATGAAATCCCCCCCGGGGGGGGGGTGGAGACGGACTTTAGTGACTGATTTTTTGCTTTGATTTTGTTTATTTTAGGTGAGATTTTAATACTAAACTATCAATTGCCCCAGCGCAGTCAAGGGGGTTTTGAGTTTAAAACCCCATAAAACTTTACTTTTGTTTTGCAGTTAAATCCCCTTCTTCTATAAAACATTACAAAAAAATGCAAACGACAATCCCCAAATTCCAAGAGCACAGTTAAGGAAGATTTTGATTTTAAAACCCCTTCAAAATTTTCGATAAACCCCCTCTTCAATATGAAAAAAAAAGCAAATTATGCACTCAAAATGTTATGAGAGTAGCTAAATAGGTTTTGAGTTTGAAGCTAAAGAATACATCTTCAATTTAAGAAAAAAGAGCAAATTACACACTCTAAAATCTATGAGCGTTGCCAAAAAGGGTTTTGAGTTTAAATCCCCCTTCAGAAGGGTTTGGTGCTAAAATATTTCTCTTCAATATAAAAAAAGCAAATTACACACTCAAATTATTTGAGCGTAGCCAAACCAATTGGGGTTTAATATTAATAAATATTATTCTAAAGCAAACTACAGTTACTAAATTCTATGATCGTAGCTAAATGGAGTTTTGAATTTTAAAAAAAGCAACTAAGTCCTGAGATTTTTTAGTTTTAAACCCCCAACAGATGATTTTGACGATAAAACTTCCCTTTTCAATATAAAATCTAAAGCAAACTACAGTCACCTAATTCCAAAAGCGTATTCAAGATAGGTTACACATTTCTACCAATGGCGGGGCTCCTTTAATAAAGTGCAGTGAATAGTCATCTGCCGAAATTGAAAAACACTAAATGTGGCTCAACAATGTTGGCTAAGACAGATTTTGGGAGTCAGTTATAGAGATCTGGTCTAAATCAAGGAAATCCTATGCCGAACTGGAAGTCGATCCCTTAGTAAGATTGTGACAGAGCGTCGCATGGATTTGCGGGACATGTACTCCGACAAAATGAATTACGCATAATAAGAAATGGGATGATATCCTTGTACAACTAGGCGCCACATTCATGGAGGTACTCAGAGCAGGTGAGAAGAGGCTTCAGACATTACCACTGACAGATTTTTGTGGAAATAGCTTGACAGCAAATGGGCCGAACGGCGCGGGAGGGTCTAAGTTAATAAGAATAGCACATTAAGTTTTTAAAATAAAACTTTCTAATAGCAGGAAAATGCACTGTAAATACCTCAGAATATGCATTTTGTTGGCCTTCAATAGCAGAAATAGTGCTCTTGGCGGCGGGGCCCGCGTTGGTTGAGCTCCTAGCGCTCCCTCAGACCCCCTTGCTAGGGCACAATAAACGTGCTCCGAAAGAATGAAAGGTCAGAATGTAATAAAGATTATGTACACACACACACATACATACATAAAAATATTTTTTTCCGCGGGGAAGGGGGGGGGCGGGAGAAACCCCCCCCCTGAAAAAAAATCCTGGCTACGCCCATGGTTTGACATTAAATATCGGATCGGAAGAGAACAGCATAATTTACACTATTACCGGTGGCACTAGATTGGGCTAGGTCTAATAATCCTGATCATTTTGGTCTAGTAATTTTTAAGATTAAAATGTATGCTCCCCTCACCAGCAGATGCCAAGTACCGGTACTATTTAAGAGTGGAAAAGACTTGGGGAAGAAAGGTTTTTTAAAGAGATAGAGAGAGAGTGAGAGAGAGAGAGAGCTGGTATATGTCAGGCCACCGCCTGTACTGGGACAGGAAGCCCTACTGCTCGATTCCTTTCACTAGGAAATAGTTTCAGCCAGTCGCTCGCCCTGAAAGGTGCTTCATGTTCACGACTTAAGGCAGTCATCAAAAAAAATAAAGAATGCGATTCGAACCCATGATCGAAACAGCTCAATTTCTTTACCAACTTCTCATGCTAACGTTAAGCTTTCAAAAAGAAACACAAAAAAAAACAAAGAATATAGCATTGAAAATTTCTGCTGGCATCAATATATTTCACTTAAATCAATAATTATTTTAAGTCCTCGAACAAAAAAAAAATATATGAGCATTAGTGGTACGACTTGAAGTTAGTTCAGACTGCAATAAAGAAATCAAATGGCTTCTAATTTATTATTAATTCTCTAATTCCATTTATCCTTTCAGGATAAATTCTTTTCTTTTATCCATCAGCCATCTCTCTGGGAACTAACAAGAAAAAAAAAATGTTTCCCCGTGTATTAGAAGAACGAATTGAAATGATTGGAGTAAAATGGAAAGCTATTAGCGCGATTGAAAACTTAGGCGGCAGACGCGGACAAAAAAAAAAGGATGGCTGTCTGGCTCTGATGGGCAGAGCTATCGTCTGCAAACAACAACAGCCGTCATAACATAATACATACATATAGACTAAGCATTGGCATCGAAGGTTTTAAGGTGACTAGCATAACCTATGTCTGCATTTGGAAAATGAGGGTGGGGGGTGAAACAGGAGAATTAGATTGGATCAAAGGGGAGAGGATAAAATAGCGCAAATGGCGCAGTGCAATTCTAGCGACACGAACCGGTATAACAGCGCTCTGGGCCAGCATATTATCATGTTTTTGCGTTTCAGACACTCTCAGGGGTCTGATTTGAATACCGGACACAGAACACGAGCACACGGTCAGGGGCTGAAAAGGGAGAGGGACTTCTACCCGTCCCCCCCCCCCCCCCCCCCCAAATTGGAAAAAAAGTAAAGTAGTAAAGTAACCCTTTCAGACCATGCGATCTATAGGACTGATCATCTGTTTTTTTGTGGCCCACGGTTAACGAGGGTGTCATGTGTCAAGCACTTTTCCATAACCAATGTCAGGTACCCATTAGAGCTGAATGGACTCAGAGGCACCCAACTTAAGACATAGAATTTGGTCCTCCCGCGCCTTTCTGCGCATTGGGCGGCAAGTTGTCTCCATAAAGATCTGTCACTGGCTATGTCTGAAGCCTCCTCCCATCTGGTGTCCACTGTTCTGAGGTGCCTCCATGAAGGTGTGGTGCCAAATTATACGAAGACGTCCCTGTTTGCGCTTTCCTCGCATTGGCCTTCATGTCATCGCGACTCTTGGTATGCGTAGTCTGTAAATAAATCTGTACCATTTAGTCGGAGAACATGTCCCGCAAACCTCACGCAACGCTCTGTCACAACCTCACTAAGTGTTCGACTTCCAGTTCGCAACCTCACTGAGTGTTCGACTCCCAGTGCGCATTGGATTTCTTTGTTTGAGACCCGATCTGTGTAACCGACTCCCAAAATCCGCCTCAGCCATTTTTGTTGAGCCACATTTAGTCTCTTCTCAATTTTGACAGAATCATAATATCAGTCGTCACCAGGATTCGAACCTCGGTTCAGAAGCCAAGCGCTTTACCCCTCAACCACAATTTGGTAGTTTTTAAGATCAATGAAAATTTTAAAGTCAAATATAAAAATATCTTATCCATTTAACTAGGACCTTATAGTCTTAAGCACTTGCCGCTCTTATGGGTACATCAGCTGTGAGGTGAAGGCGGAACTGCTGTGTGGGCGACATCGTTCCGACCCTAGCTAATACTCAGGCATACTATATTCAAGTACAATATGCGTTGTATCTTGTTTTGATTGCGTAATTTGGTAGAACTGGTTAATCCACTTAATCAAGCTACACAAATCAATGAAGATATCCTGATAGAGAAATGACTTCGTAACAAAGACTTCCCTAAATGAAAGTTTTTTTTTAAGCGTCAGACGAGCCGGAATCCATGGAGATACCGGAAGCAATGAATTGTTCATTTAGGAGTCAATTGAGCGAAGCCATTAACATAAAGTAAACAAACATAAAGTAAACAATCTCTCTCGTTGATACACGAACACGATGACAAGTGACATTACATAACTAGTGACATTAATATGTATGACAAGTGACATTACATAACTAGTGACATTAATATGTGTGACAAGTGACATTACATAACTAGTGACATTAATATGTGTGACAAGTGACATTACATAACTAGTGACATTAATATGTATGACAAGTGACATTAATATGTATGACAAGTGACATTAATATGTATGACAAGTGACATTAATATGTATGACAAGTGACATTAATATGTATGACAAGTGACATTAATATGTATTACAAGTGACATTACATAGCTAGTGACATTAATATGTATGATAAGTGACATTACATAACTAGTGACATTAATATGTATGATAAGTGACATTACATAACTAGTGACATTAATATGTATGACAAGTGACATTACATAACTAGTTACATTAATATGTATGACAAGTGACATTACATAACTAGTGACATTAATATGTATGACAAGTGACATTATTATAGAACAACACAAGAAAAAAAACAACAACAAGGAAATGTCAAAGTTTTTTTATGTTTATTGTTTCAAAAAATGCAATGAATTAATGAGATTAAAGATACAAAGTACAAACAAACAAACAAAGTATTATTATACTTGAGTAGATCTTAGTTATTTTGAAATAGCCCTTTAAAAAGTATATGTATGTACTTCAGTGGTGACGTGGCATACATTTTCAATCTCTGTCACTTGCACGGACCTCCTTTATACTATATTACTATTACTCTAGTTTTAACTTCGAGACTTATAAAAGGAAAGCGAAAATTGTACAAATTGTTTCAATTTTACAAGAGACTTGAAAGTGGGTCTCTGGTAATGGCAGATATGTAAAAGAAGTGGAACCAGTGGTTTTCAATTCTGAAAATCTCTTATGCTTTACATGATGTATCTATATAACAAAAAAAAACAAAAAACACCGGCTAGAGTGTGTTTGTGTGTCAACCGCGAATAAAATTTGCCTCAAATTGACATCAAATATATATATATATATATATATATATATATATATATATATATATATATATATATATATAAAGAAAGAAATAGCATATATGGATTCGAACCCGTGATGTTGAGTTAGCAACCCGAATGCGCCCCCTTCCGCTTACTGATCATAATACTGCTTTTTTTCCCCTCTTGTCTTTGTGCCTTTCATCTCCGCCCCCTTATTGCCCCCGTGGTTCAGTATATACTGTTATAGGTTTATCATCAACACTGAAGTATGTTATATACACACAAACAAGATAACAAAGTGGTGAACAAACATATAAATATATTGGAGGAATAGTCAAACCAAGATGTGGCTGACTTGACTCAATGTGTTAGGAAATATTCTATTTTCAGAGAGAAACATAAAAGAAGTCATTTAAGATGCCAGATCATTTTGTGAGTCAATCAAGACGCCAGGCCCATTCATAGGCCATTTGAAACTCCGATACAACTCACGTGTGGTTTATAAAGTTATGACAATACACAGGTCATTAGAGGACTAATCCTTGGTCATTTAAAATGCTGGATCGATTCATGAGTCTTTTGAGATGTTAACACTGAGTTTGTATTTTACAATGCCACACAGTCAACATCTTTACTAAAGTCAGAATGCAATGTAACAGAGTAAAACTTTGGCATGATTCCAAATCTCATAGACATATATCGTTTATGATGTAAAACAGGACCATTCAAATAAAAAAATCAACTATTGGGAGCCTATGCATGAATGGTACTGTACATATAAATATTTGAGAACTAAAGCAGATTGTCTTTTGAACAGCACATGTTTTAGACCTGCAATTTGTTCTAGTATGTGTAATTCATTAGTCCTACAGAAAGAACATATCATTTTAAAAACATAGTCCTTTAAAAGTAAATGGAGCTTAAAGAACGCAGTTAACAATCGTATGGTCTCCGAAAATTTCTTTAACAATAACAAAGTCAAAACTCAGGAGTGAAATCTATTTTTAGAGTGACACCCACAGCTATACAAGGGGAGAGTAATCTCTAAAAATAATCTGCAAAAAAAGCCCTTTAAACAAAAACGTCATTATTTTGAGACATTGCCCCGAGTGTTTTAATTTAAGAAATTTAATATTGAAAATATTTGAGCTATTCGGCACATTTAATTTACTGAAGAAAAAGAACCGTGTAAACGGTTCATACAACTAGAATACAGCAAAGCATTTTTAAGAACATAAAAGAAAGAAAAACAAAATAAGATTACGTTGAAGAATGTGGATCTTTACATCCTAAGCCATTTGTATAAGCATCCACATCTGATAAAAAGGAACGCCTGAATGAGCTGTAGATTTACAGATCTATTGGAATACAATTTCGTGAAGCCATGACAACTATTTCATTATTCTTGAGTCACAGACCCAGAAAATAAAATTATATTTTTAACAAAAAAAAAACACACACTTTAAAACAAAACAAACAAAGTCCTGCAGTCTGGGTTAAAAAAACAAATAACGTCTGGGTTAAAAAAACAAATAAGTTTTTTTTTATAAAAAAAAAAAGGCCTTCCCCGATATCATCCATATCACATAGCCATCTCATTTTTAATAACAACCTAGATCTAATAATCTTTTCTTTGTTGCATGTTTCCAGAAAATCTTTGTAGGAGATATACTCCAGTGGGGCGTCTTATAATGTATCAAACTTGACAATTTTACACTCAAAATGATATTCTTTTCGTGCATTATCTTATCACGCGATATGTGCTTGTAAAAAAACGTGTAAGCAGTTGTCCGAACTTGTCTCTCAAGAAAATCCAACAATGATACATACATGTTTAGCAAATGTCATTTATTGAGAGCAAAACAGCGAGATGTGAAGCTTACATTTACACCTTTTCAAAAGACAAGCAAAGCGTTTGTAGACTTAATTTTATTTCAGGAGCATGGGATAGAAGAATTTAGTCTGAACATCAACGTATACAATGTGCTGCAGGAAGGAGCAGAGGGCCCCAACCACAACACTGCACAGCTGAAATATGCTACATGAGTTTAGAGCCTGAACCTTAGCACTATATATTTCAGTGTGTTACTGGGAGGAGCTTAGGACCTCAACCACACCCTTGCAAAGTGCTAGTGGGAGGAGTTTAGGACCTGAACCTTAACTTTCAGTGTGTTACTGGGAGAAGCCTAGGGCCTCAACCGCCACATCACACTTTTTAAAAAAAGTATCATTATGTCATGCCACTATTTAATACAGATGACATTAAAATTTCACAACTAATACATATGTCATACATATACAAATGTCACATTTGTAAGAGATGAAAGCAATGTCAGTATGATTGTCAGGATTGAACAAAGACAATCCGGGCTATGGTGATACTCAGCACAATCTCCAATGATTGAAATGATTGTATTAAATTACCAATGTACATTCAGTGTTCAAGATGAAACGATAACAGAAAGAAAAAAAAAGACACATAAAGAGAAATAGGACCAAAAAAAAGTATGTACACATATAATACGGAGTGAGTTGTGCAGGCCATGAACATTTGAATACTTGGCCTTCAGCAGGCTGGATTTGTACATGTCTATAAAGATCCTGGGACCACACAAAAAGTTTTTGTTGTACCGAGAAGTCTGAAGAAGGTTTCGGGGGGGGGGGGCATATTGTGACAACAGAAGAGTAAGTAGGCGATTCTAATACAGCATGGCTGATGTGTGGCAACGACAGTGGTGAAAATACACATGTCTGATGATGAAGGGCCTTGCTGTCCAGCGAAATGTCAGAAACTGTATTCACTTTGGGTCTAAATGGGCAACTCTACTGCAAAACTGTATAGAGCCATGGCGTTGTCAGAAGATGGCCTACACTTGAGTTTCATAGAAAATACATTATCTATAAAATGATGACAGTTAATGGCAATGTCCGAAGTGGTTCTCTTATATCAAGTCATAGTCCAAAGTGTTATCAAATAGCTTGACCACTAAGTTTCTGTGGAAATCTCCAAAACCTTTTTGAATCTTAGGGCTCTTGTTGCTGGAAAATTCTCCTAATCATACGCAGCAAATTTTTTTGGGAAATGTCAAGACTGCTTAGACTATGCAATGCAATGCATGCGCTGAATATTCTGAAGCCCTTTAACACCAGGCTAGATCCGGGAGTGTTTATGTGCCTTCAAGTTGCCATCAAGAACGATGCCAACCATTAACCCAAGGATCAGGTAGACGTGAAATGATGTCCATGTTCACCCACAAGTCATTGAGAAGAGTTTGAAATAAAAACACAACGCAAGTCCAATGAAAAAATGCTATCAGTATGTTTCTGTTGCCGTCCGTTACGACATTTACCATAGGATGAAGCGTGTGACACAAACCTCGCACGTGGTAATGCCGCCTTCCGAACCTGATGATATTTCCAAACAGCTGAATGCCACCCCCCCCCCTTCCATTTCGAACATTGTACAATGTCCGTTGTAACATGTCCGTTGTAACATGTCCGTTGTAACATGTCCGTTGTAACATGTCCGTGAGTGGATGAGAAGAAGACTAAAAAAAAACCAAAAAAACAGACAGAAAGTTGACAGACTTGTATTCACTTCGAGCAAGCAGTGAGCCATACATGTCAAGGGAGAATGTTAGGGGTCCTCCACAGTGAAGTCACTTTTGCTTTTCGTTTTTCCTTTTTCTGGGTTTCTTCTCAGCCTTTTCCGGGCCTAGTCAGCACACCTGAAATAGATCAGCAAAAAAATATATATATTATAATTTTGTTACTACTTGCAATAACGAAGTAATGTAATGTATCTCATGCGTTCTTTTAATGACAATGAAAAAAAAACAACAACTAGTATATAGTGCTATAAAATTTGATCTTCCACAGCAGATATTAGAAATAAGAAGTTAAGTCGACACGCAAACTATAAATAATAACAAGCAAAACACCCCAAAATACTTTAACAAGGTTACAAAGACAGTTTGTGGAAACACAAACTCAAAATCGCCACCGGAGTGGTTCCCCCAGGCAGGTTTCAATATTTTCAGAAAGAACATCAGAATTAAATTCTACCAAAGACAAATGACAGAGAAGAATGGAGAAAGAATGTCGACAGATCTTGTGTGGTGCCCCAGCGGTCCAGCAGACCAAAGGATAGGTGAAAGTGAAGGTGAAGTTAAATGTTAACCTGGCCTAACTGATGTCTTATAATGAATATCTAATTGATCTAATTGTTTTGTAAAGGGTCAATTTCTTATTTAAATCGTCGAGAGAAAAAAGACATTACCGTAAAAAAAAAAATGTCCCCTTTAGTTAAGTGTTCTACTGTAATGGTATAGCTCTGCAGTTCACGCAATAATATGAAAAACTAATTATTTCTTGTTTTAAATTATGTCCAACTTATATGCATAATAAATTTATTTTTTTCTTTTAAAAAAAAAAGTAAACATTTTTTTTGTCTAAATTTAGTAGCTAGTATAACAGAACTTACATAACTTAGCAATACATCTGTAAAAAAAATAATTATTGACAAAATCTAAAACCATTTGCATAAATTTGTTCAATATATGGTGAACCTTTACTTGTGTAATAAATAAATAGACTCCAGTGTTTGTTACTATTAACAGTGAATAGTTGTAAAAGTGGTGTGTTTTTATGAAAAAACTGCTTGCATATGTAATTTAAAGAAATAGATTTTTCGCTTTCAGAAAAGAAAAAAGGTAGCCGTTGCATCAGAACTTTGAATAGACTAAAATGTGATGTCGGATTTTTACTATCTTTTCTAGTTTACGAGATCTAAACGGGACGGACGGACGGACATTCCACACAAAACAAATAGCGTCTTTTCCCCTTTCGGGGGCCGCTAAAAAGACAACAAAGCTTACATTAAGTTATCAATTAGTTTGTTATAAGTCTAAAAAGACAATCTATATTATGGAATAACTCCAAGCTTGTACCACCACTTCAGTCAAGTACTATTTCTTTCCCTTGGAAAGGGGACTGATTCAGTTTATGCCACCACTTTTTGAAGTACTATTTATTTCCCTT